TAACACATCCACGAGGATCTGGGCTTCGCTATTCAACTATCTTAAGTATGACGGGTAGTTGAATGGATTTGAGAGACGCACGTATATGAATAAGTTCCTTATGAAACAATTCCATTGCACTAGATCATGATTTATTAATGTGAGAAAACCTTTCACAATTTCATTGATGCTCATCTTAAATCAACCTAGATCATAGAACATGTTTTTTTCATAAATCATGCATAACATCATGAAAACATAATTCACAAGTTCCTAATTCCTTAATCAATTTATTCGTTTAAGAGTTCATTTTCAAAATCATGATCAATGCATGTGTTCATGTGATTTCAATTTGAATGCATGTAAATGATTTTAAACCTATCAAAATAATATAAAATTAAACAAATTGAATCCACATAATTTGAACCATGAAGGATTGAATGAAAACCTAATCAATTTAATGAAAGTGAACTTGGATAATTTAGAAACCTTGTGTCTCAATGGCTGTGTGGAACCCACTCATGATGAACTACATACCTTGAGGATTAAATCACAAAAGCAATGGAGGAATTGGAGACTTCATGCTTGGAAACCCTAACCTTCTTCATCACTTTGGGAGAGAATTGGAGGGGATGAATGTGGATGGGATTTAAGGGTTTGAATTATGAGAGAATTGGGGAACTTTCAAAGGGTGAAAGGCAGTTATAGGGCTTAAAATAAGGGTCAAAACGACATAGTATTGGCATTAGATGCATAGAAATAGATCGAAATACCCTTACAAATAATTGTCGGATGGTTCTACAGTTTTGACCTATTGTCCATAGAATTTTCTACGACCCATACTAGTCAACCGTACAACCACCTTAAAATACCCAAATTCACTTCACTTCCCATGAGACTTTTCTATGGTCTGTCTAAAAGCCTACAGTCTGTAGACCTCATCCGTAGAACTCAAGTTCAACTCAAAAATCTCAATAAATCTGGAACCTTTTATGACACACATTCTATGACCTATAGAACAATTGAAGACCCTTCAAATCTTTCCCTAGAACTGAGGTCTTAAAACAAATCTCTGAATCCATCTTACGAGTCCTCTCTACGGCTCGTGCAAATTCTTACAGTTCAACCTGTTCATTCATAGTTCAAATTTCATAAACTTGAATTTTCAAAAACTCCACTCAAGGTCTATGACTTCCTTCCTACAGCCATTAGGACTTTCTATGATCAGTAGATAGGACTCGTAGATCTTTCTTTAGTTCCAAAAATCTGACTTTTCATTTTCTTTTTGACTTTCCAATTTTCAAGGTGTTACATGTCTTAGGGTGTCTAAAATTTGCATTTAGTAGAGTCTTGTTCATGGATGTGAAGGGCTCCATATTTATGTGAGAGGCAATGAAATATTTAAGAATACTTGACTTCTTTCATACCCTTAGTCCTGCAATAGAGTGAAACTCTAGTAAGTTTCCTTCTAACTCATGCTATATACATTTTCGACATCATGCCTCCAAAAGAGCTTGTGTATCAGAATGTAGAGCCACAAGAACCTCTGGCTCCACTTGACCCTTTGGTTAAATTGGTCACTCATGCCAAGTTTAGGAATTCTTTTTAAGTACTACTATAAGCCATGATGCTTAAAATTATTAAGAATTTGTATCCCCATGAACCCAAATGTTGGCACAACTTCTACCAGAGTCAGAGACCTCACTTTGATGAACCCTCTAGAATTTCATAGTTAAAAAGTTGACGAGGATCCTTAAGAATTAATTCAGGGTATTCATAAGTTCTTGAGATTATTGGTGTCACTCTAGTCGAAAGTGCAGCTTTGGTCACTTATCAATTGAATGGAGTTTCTCATAATTGGTTTAAATAATGGAAAGAGGGAAGGGCAACTATTGCAAGCCCATAGGATCGGGAAAAGTTTAAGGGTTCTTTTGTAGACATGTTTCCTTCTTGAGATGAGAAAGGCTAAGGTGCAAGAATTCATTTATTTGAGGCAAGGTAACATGGGCGTGAAGGTGTATGCTTTGAAATTTATTCAACTCTCCAAGTATGCTTAGGCTATGGTGGTTGACTCTAGGACCCGCATGAGAAAGTTTGTTTTTGATGTTTTAAAGATGGTGGTGAAGAGTGTGGGGATGCTTTCATGATAAAAAAATGGATAACTCTAGGTTGATGACCCATGCTCAAAAAATTGAGGAAGAGAAGATTAAAGAGAGTGTTTGCAAGAACAAAAGAGCTCATATCGATAGTGTTGACTACTCTCATTTGAGATCCAATGGTTGTGGTCATTCTCAATTTAATCAAAGGTATACTGCCCAACACAACTTCTGGTAGTGCTCCAGTACTGAAATTCAATAAAATTAGAGTGCCAAACTCTAAGTCTCAAAGTAGTGTTTCTAGTGGACATTCTCTCGCTGCTTGTCAAAAGTATGGAAAAAACCATCCAGGAGAGTGCATGGTTGGTACTGGTTGTTGCTACGGATGTGGTAAGACTTACCACATATTGAGGGATTGTCCATAGGCAATTAGCTAAGGTAGAGTTGGTTTTTCCATACTCAGCCTAACACTTTATTAGGTCATTTGACTTAGCAGGGTACCCTATGTTGCACTAGTAGCGGACAGAATCAGAATATATTCTCTGCCCTTTAGACTCGACAAGATATGGAGGATTTCCCTAATGTGGTCACTGGTATGTTACGAGTCATTCGATTTGATGTTTAAGCCTTATTTGACGCAGGAGCGACACTTTCCTTCGTGATTCTTGTTTCAATGAAATTTGGTGTTAATCTCGAAATTCTATTAGAACAATTATCAGTCTCTACTTCTGTTGGTGAGTCAATTTTATCTAAATGGGTGTACAGAAATTACCTGCTCCCAGTATTTTAGAAAACCACATCAATTGATCTAGTAGAGTTAGATATGCTTGACTTTGATGTCATTCTTGATATTGAATGGCTTCATGCATATTATGCCTTAGTTGGCTATAGAACAATAATTATAAAATGTAAGTTTCTGAATGAACTTGTCATTGAATTGAAGGGTAGTACCTGAGCGCCCACTGGTCAATTTATCTCGTGCCTTAAGGCTAGCATATGGTTTCTATAGGTTGTATCTATGATTTAGTTTGGGTTAAAGGAACAAATTCTGAAACCCCAACTCTTAAGTCAGCTCTTGAAGTGAATGAATTCATAAAAGTGTTTCCTAACGATTGATATATCGTGAGTTTACGGTATTTTTAATGCATTATACTTGATGTTTGTGTGAGTCATGGGCATTTTGTTATTAGATATGATGGTGTTCGGTACAATTTTGCAGGAAGTTAAATATAGTTGAACCCTGAACCCCGAACCCCAAACCCCAAACCTCGAACCCTGAAACCCAAACCCTAAACTGTAAACCCTAAACCCTAAACTGCATAAAGACACATCCTAACCCAGCATCACAATAAACAAAGAACCCATTCATTCCTTCTGATAAAGACAATACTGGAGTGGAAGTAATTTTGTCGCTCAATTCATGGAAACTCTTCTCACATGCTTCCAAATATGAACTTAACCTTCTTTTGGTTTAATTCAATCGAGAGACAATCAAAGAAAACCCTTCAACAAACCTTCGATAGTAACCGGCTAAACCCAAGAAACTTCTAATATCAGAAGGGGATAAAGGTCTAGGTCAACTCTTAACCACATCTGCCTTCTTAGGATCTACCTCAATTCCCTTACCAGAAATAAGGTGGCCAACAAAAGCCACGGACCTTAACAAAAACTCACATTTACTAGGCTTTGCAAAGAGTATTTGGTCCTTGGGTACTTGCAACACAATCCTCAAATGATTGGTATGTTCATTTTCACTCCTTGAGTAGATTAAGATGTCATCGATAAACACAATCACAAGCATGTCGAGGTATTAGATATACACCCTATTCATCAAATCCATAAATGCGGCTGGAGCATTGGTCAACCCAAAGGACATCACCGAGAAATCATAATGATCATATAGAGTTTGAAAAGCTATCTTCGGAATGTCATCTTTGTTTACCCTCAATTGGTGGTAACCCGACTGAAGGTCAATCTTAGGAAGTAACTTACTCCTTGAAGTTGATCAAAAAATCATATATCCTTGGGAGAGGATGTCATTCTTAACGGTAACGTTGTTCAATTACTGGTAGTCAATACACATACGGATCGAACCATCATTCTTTCTAACAACCAAAACTGGAGCACCCCATGGAGAGATACTCAGTCGGATGAAACTCGTATCCAATCTTTCAATCTCTCTTTTAATTCCTTAAGTTCTGCTTAATCCATTCGGTTAGGAAGAATAGAGATAGGTTACGTGTTTGGGAGAAGGTCAATATTGAAGCCTATTTCTCTTTCGAGAAGAACACTGGGTGAATCATTGGGGAACACTTTTGGAAACTCGTTAACAACAGGGACCGACTAAAGAGTAGGGGTTTTGGAATTCATATCTCAAACCCGAACAAAATGGAATATGCAACCCTTAGAAATCATCTTTCTAGCTTTAAGACATGAAACAAACTAACTTTAGGAATAGAATTTCCCCCTTTCCATTCTAGGATGGGTTCATTTGAAAACTGAAACTTCATAACACAGGTTCTACAATCAATAGAAGCATAACATGAATGAAACCAATCCATACCAAAGATAACATCAAAGTCTAGCATATCAAGCTCTACAGTAGCAACATGAGTGCCTCTATGGGATAAGGATATGGGACACCTTCTATAAACTCTCTTAGCCACAACAGATTCACCAATAAAAGTAGAGACAGAAAAGGTATCTGACAACACATCTGAAAGAATATCAAATCTCATGGCAACATATGACATCTTAAAAGACAAGGTAGCACCGGGGTCAAGTAAAGCATAAACATCGAGTTGGAAGACTTTCAACATATCGGTAACCACATCGAGAGAACCCTCTTTCCCATGATGAGTCTGAAGTGCATAGAATTGGTTTTGCTTCTGATTGATTACCTCTAGAATCTGAATAAGGATAGCGTTAAGCCCATCGATGATCATCTCCTTCATTCTTAGCAACTGAGGGACAATCCCTTATCTTGTGTGTCTTGCCACAACCAAAATATGCATTAGAACCAGCTAGACATTTACCCTCGTGCTTCCTTTCACACTTAGCACAAGTAGACAATGAAGACCCACTACCATTTCTTTCTTGAGGCTTAGGGTTAGAAACCCTATCTTTATTGAACCTAGGAGAAACCTTAGAGGATCCTTAACCGGAAAATTTATCGGAACTTAGAACAACCATGTATGTCAGACCTGGAATGTGAAAAGTCACCATCACATGTCTTGGGCCTCTTTGACTCCCTAGACCTTTCCTTGAGTTTCTCCTCTTCAATTTGTTGAGTATGTACCATGAGACAAAATGTCCATATCAATTATAAGCATAGAGGTACGGCATTCCTTAACCACAATTGCAAACACACCCAAAACAAACTTACTCATTCTTGCCCTAGGATCAACAACCATAGCAGGAGCATACCTAGACAATTGTGTGAACTTCAAAGTATATTCTTTCACACTCATATGTCCTTGACGAAGGTTGATGAATTCAAGTATCTGTGCCTCCCTCATCCAAGGAGAAAGAACATATCAGGGAAAGCAACGTTAATTTTTTTTTAATCGGGAGGACCCCCATCAACCACTCTCCCTTCCTTCCATTGGTTGAACCAAACTAGAGCAACACCCTTAATTTTGTAAGAGGCCAATTCCACCTTTTCCACTAGTGTCACTCACATGATCATCAACACTTCATACACTTTATCAATGAATTCTTGAGGATCTTCCTCAACCATAGAATCATGAAATTCCGAAGGATTCATTCTAGTGAAGTCTCTCACTCTAGTTGCCGTCGTACCCACATTTGGGTTTACGGGGACCACAACCTCCCTGTTGGCTTGAGCCGTCATAGTTTGAGCTCCAACACTTGAAAAACAACCCTAAACTCTGCATTAGTCACTTGTTCAGTCAATGGGTCGACTAGAACTTGAGGAGCATGCGCAGGAGCGTGTTGTTCCACATTCTCATTCACATTCCTCCTAACGTATGATCATCGAGGGGCCATTACCTGAAAAGCATCGGATCAGGATTAGGAGAAAGGACATATAGAGTTACACTCTATTGCACGACTTAGAGTTATAAAGGAATTGAAGTTTCCTAATCATCTTATAGCTTCTTATTCATAAATGTGGTGCACTTCACACTTATGAACAAGAATCTACTCAACGTGGCTAATGAGACATCCTAGGACCTTTCTAAACCTTGTGCTCTGAATACCAAGTTTGTCATGACCCAAAGTATACCCTAGGCGTAACATGGTGTATAGGACTCTGAGAGGCCCCACACAATCCACTTAGCATGTGTAAGCAAGATAATAGAAATTAAGAGTTTAAAAGAGACATTTTAAATCACAAAGAGTTTTTAAAAAACAAAGTGAAAGTCTACATAGTCTCAAAGTCGTCGATTAAATCAAGAGTGATTGGGACGTAACCTAGGCATCACATATAATATCTGGAAAGTAAAGACAGAATGTAATAAAAGGTTCGGTCCTCAAAATATGTGGACTCACCACTACTCAAGACTACCAAAGAGATATCTAGCCATGGGGATGCGAAATCAGAGTGTCGGACCCTCCATTTTTAGAAGAATGTAAGCAAGAGTATGCGTTAGTAAAATAATGTACCAAGTGTGATAGAAATGCATAAAGGATATCAAATCATGTTAAAAGGACATTTTTATGACATACAAAGATCAAGTTAAAACATACGATATGAGATTAGAAGTATAATCATGATCATGGTCAATGCAAGTAAAATCATTTGTGAAGACATGTGAGATACTTTTACAAGTAACCTTAGTTCATCATTATTGTTGTGGAAAAATTTCCTTAATCAACATAGATACCATGTGAGCTATGACATGTAATCATGTGTCTACCCCACACCCAAAAGAGTTGTCCTCACTTGCCAAGTTATGAACCATGAATTTCTAGCTTAAGTGGATCCACATGCTAATGTTTATCTAAGACAACCTATAGTGGAACATAGTTTATGGGATACGGGCAATCGTCAGTTGTCCACTCGGTGCTAAGCATTATTCCAACGGATTATTCATCAATCATATTCATCTTATCTTTAATAGACATGGGTAATTGCCTCTTGTCTTATCATTATGGGGACATGGGTAATCGCCTCTTGTCTTTTCACTATGGGGACATGGGTAATCACCTCTTGTCTTACCATTAGAATAGCTCCTAAAACTTGCTTCACAGTTTAGTTGAGAAAACTTTTCAACTCTAAGAATCCTTTATGTGAGAAGCCTTTTCACATTCATGTATTCAGTATTATGTGAGAAATCATTTCACAACAATCAAAAACAACAATATTTATGCTACTCACTCAAAGCACCTTAGATCATTTTCATCAATTTCATAAGAACATGCATATCTTCATAAATTCATCTTTCATAGTTCAAAACTCATCTTCAATCATCATAGTTTAGAAACCATGGGTTAAGCATGGGTTCATGGGGATTCATCTTAAAACATGGAATTATCTCAAATTCATGCATAATAGTTCATAAAAAATCAATTAGATCAACATTGAAAAGAATCCATGACATGGAAGAAAACCCTAACTTCAATTGGGGATTTAGAACTTGTAAATTGGAGAATTTAGGAACCCTATGGAAGAAAGAGCTCCATATGGGAAAACTATCTTACCTTGATGCCAATATCTTGAAATAAATGGAGGATTTAGGAGACTTGATCTTGAAACCGTAGTCCTCTTCTTCAAGCTTCTGGAAAGAGAATATTTGGGAGGATGAACTTGTTCTTCTTTTAGGAATTTGATATAATGAAGTCAATTGGGGAGTTTTAGGGTTAAAAATGTTTATGTAAGGTCTCTAATAAAAGGTAAAACGACATAGTATTGTGTTAGAATAATTAGAAAAATATCATAAGCCCTTCTTAAAAATAATTTTTGACCTCACCAATGGCCAAATCTATGGTCCATTGGTCAGACCATGAACCATCCTGGTCGATCATGGGTGAGATCAGAGACCACTGGATTTAGACCCCCAACAATGGACCCATGTACGGTCCAAGGGTCAACCTACGGACCGTACACTTTAGTAATGGGTCCCAACTTTTGGTTCTAAAATTTCTCTATGTTTGGGACTCACCTACAAGACCTACCTACAACTCGTGCATGGGAATATGGACCGTCCTGGTGAACCATATGTAACTACTGAAAATTTTAAAATTTTTTGGAAAATTAGGACTAGCCAACCACGGGCGTACCTACGGACCATGTGTCAGATCACGGACCGTCGATGGTTCCATTGGTACTGGCACAAAATCTGGAAAAGCTAAAATTTATCACTTTTTTTAATTTGAGGTGTTACAGAGGTGGACAAAGACAGATACTTGTCCCCCTGTGATCGTCCACGCCCAAAAGATCCAGTTAGTTTAGAAGGAAGCAAGACGGAAGACATGCTTTTCAGGATATATAACAAGGTTGAAGGAGTCATTAAGGTGTTGAAGGATTTAAAAAATGAATTCTCTACTTTAACTCAAATGGTGATGTCATATTTAGTTTCAATCAAGCACCTAGAGACCCAACTGGGTCAAATTGCCGCTCATCTAAATCCAAGGCAAAAAGGAACTTTGCCTAGTGATACCATCCCAAACCAAGAATGATTATTGAAGTTCAAGGACTATGTCGTGCCATGACATTAAATACGGCACTTCTTGGGAAGCAACCCAATTCTTTACTATTGTTTTTATTTGCTTTTAAATAATGTGTGTTGTGAGTGCAGGTGGACAAGAGGTTGAAAGATTGATAAGGGCAGATCGGGTGAGGTCATAACCAAAAGGGAGATTTTCCAAAACCACTAGGCAGACTGATTCTTGTCCACCCTTTGAGCATAGAAAAGTGGCAAAGTACACTGTCAATATCGGTGAGCAGAACTCCAAAGGGTGATTTGCCGAAGTGCATAAAGAGGACTTCATTGGGTCCACCAAATAATCCTTCAGGTTTGGTCATTATCAAGGCATGTTCGGTGAGCTTAAGCTCCAGATAACGATTCGTTGAACACGTTCGGCGACATTTGTAATTGTGCTGAATAGGTCTACTATAAAAGGGCCTATGGGTTTTTAATTTCAAAAAATCAAAAACCTTTTAATTCTTGGAGCCTTTTTTATCCTCCTCTCTTACATTGTGCATTTTGAGCAGTTTTGTGCCACGTGTGAGTGTGTTGAGCGTGCTAGGAGTGAATTTGATTTGATATCGAGTCAACCCAACCCTAAATTCCTTAATTTCTTGCTTGATTTTTAGCGCTAAGGTTGGTGTTTTGACTTCTTATTGATGATTTTATGTTTAGATTGCATATAGGGTGTGGGTTTGAGACCTATAACTGAAATAAAGTGCTTAATTTTGTTGGGAAGCATTTGATTGTTGAATTTGAATTTTACCCATGTGATTTTAATTATGAATGCCTATACAAATGGTGAATGACGGTACTTGTTCTTCACTATCACTTTGTTCAACTATCGATAGTCAATACACATCCTCATGGATCCATCCATGTTCCTCATAAACAACACAGAAGCACCCCATGGAGAAACATTAGGGCAAATAAACTCCTTACTCAACAAATCTTGCAAATGATCCTTCAATTCCTTCAACTCAACTAGATTCATACGATAAAGAGGAATAGAGATGGGCTTGGTCCCCGACTCCAAGTCAATACCAAAGTTAATATCCCTATCCGGAGGAACACCTTGAGGATCAGTAGGAAACACATCTACAAACTCTCAAACCATGGGAACAAAATCTATGGGAGGTGTCTCAACACTAGTATCCCGAATGAAAGCCAAGTAGGATAAACGCCCTCTATCAACCAATCTCTGAGCTCTAATGAAGGAGATAAATTTTCTAGTTTAAGAACCATTAGCACCCATCCACTCAACTCTCGAAACACCCGGCATTGCTAAGGTCACAGTCTTAGCATAATAATCAAGAATAGCATGATGTTAAGAAGGACAATCCATACCCAACATAATGTCAAAGTCTAACATTCCCAAAATGAACAAGTCTACCCAAGTATTATACCCGGCCAAAGAAACAAGATAGGATCTATACACTCGATCCACCACTAAGAATTCACCTATTGTTGTAGAAATATGGAAAGGCACAGGCAGGCAATAAGACAACATAGCAAACCTAGTAGCAAAATCGGTAGACATATATGAGAAATTCGAACTCGGATCAAACAATACAGACGCTAGTCGATGGAAAACTGTGATGATATATGTGATCACAACATCAGAAGTCTCAGCCTCAGGCCTCCCTAGAAAAGAATAATACTAGACATCTCAGTTGCATGTAGTCTGAGTAGAGCCTCTACATCCACCCTGCAGAGCTGGAGTACTTCTACCCTTAGTCTTCCCACCTCTATTGGTCTGACCTCTGCCTCGACCCATGGATGACGGTACTGAATCCCTAGCTGGAGAAGTTGTATAAGAACACTAAGGTCCTAAAAGAGTTTGAAGAGAACATTATCGCATCATATGACTTGGATCCAAAAATGTATAACACGATCTCGACACCGATAATTGATGCTGCAAACAAGACGAACTACCATGACTACCTCGGCCAGAACCATAGGATTCTCAAGCTGAATACCCACTGTTAGCTGATCGCACAAAAGCATGAACCAGCCCACGACGCTCGAAAGAACACTACCTCTATCTGAACCTCGACCTCCAGATAAGGCACCAGAAAATTGACTAGAAGAATGGTCCCTCTTTGGATCCCCAAACTCCTCTAAAACCATCAAATTCGCCTCCTTCGCGGTGCTCACAATTGACTAGAAGAAAGCGCCCTCTCTAGCTGCCCTGAACACATAG